GTTGGCTAAGAATCCACAGGAGTGACCTGTAGGAGCCCTGGGCACGTCTTTAGATGCCCGCCTCCATGAAAGAGAAAATAAGGTGAGGTAGCTCAGCGTGATAGAGCACATGCGTGGCATGTGAGAAGCCCGACTTCAGTCTCTGGCACTGCATACCTCAAGCACTGTCAGCTGTTACCCTGAGCACCACAGTGTGGTGGAGCCTGGAACTAGCAGACCCGCACCACCAGGCCGGCATCTCCAGGAGTGATTCCCAGACATTCGTGATGGGGAGCGCCTATTAGCAATAAAAGAAAGGAAAAAAACTACAGCAGGAAAAGACTGCTCTGTACTGTGCCCCAATTCTGGAGGTCAGGAGTCAGAGACCAAGGTAGCAGCAGGGTTGCGCTCCCTATGGAGCCCTCACAGGCTCCTATGCTGCTGTCCTCTCCGTTGCTGTGTGGCAGGTCTGCAGAGCCCTGCTCACTGCGTGTGGGTCCTGGGTCTCTGCTTACCAAGGGCATCACTCATCCTGGGTTAGCACTCTCCCTCACAGGAAGTACTTTACCAATAACAACACGAAGTATTCATTCTTTTTTTTCAAATATTTAAAAATTGAATCACTGTGAGGTAGACCCTTACAAAGCTCTTCATGACTAGGTTTCATTCATACAGTGTTCCAACACCCATCCCTTCACCAGTGTACGTTTCCCAGCACCAGTGTCCCCAGTTTCCCTCCCAACAGCCCCTCCCCGACCCTGCAGCCTGCCTCTTTTCTTCTCTCTGTGTCTCTGTCTCTGTCTGTCTCTGTCTCTTTCTGTCTGTCTGTCTGTCTGTCTCTGTCTCTCTCAAGATTCTTTCTAAATATTATTACATTCCTAGGACTTCATCTGCTTTTTTAGGTGATGCAATGCCACCCATAAGAGTGGTCAGGAAAGGACATAAGCAGAGATACTAACACAAATCAATGAAGAAAAAGAGGAGAGCAGGAATGTTTCCATGGAAGCAGCATGGACAGACAATTATCTGGGACCAAATGACATGTTAAGAGGCTACATAGCTTCCAGAGGCAGATGAAGCTCAGGGGGAAAGGAGGAGAAGGATTAGTATTAGAGTGGAAATCATTTCACTTAACATCCTACCCTGTAAGCCAGAAGGATAAAGTCAAAACTATGTGATTTCACTAATTTTTTGAGAAAATTACATGGGTACAATTAACAATCATAAATGTTCGGACTTAAGAAGAATGAATGGTTATCAGAAAGGAAAATAAAGGGGTGTGTGTTGAAGGCGACTGCTTGGGGATGGTGTAAAGCAAAGCAAAGGAGACATAGATTCTCAATGATCATACCTGAAATTCATATAAGGACACAATGGGATATTACTTCAAGATAAAAGAGAGAGTAGAAGTCAAACAGAATTGGTTTCAATGACTAAGTTTGCTGATGCCAAGAAGTGGGAACATGGTGCTGGAGTGAAAAATATCAAGTAGGGTGTTAGCTTTCCTTGCAAGCCTCTAACTCGAGTTCAAACCCTGGCATCCTGTACTGTTCCGTGGTGTGACCCCTGAGTGCCGAATAAGAGCAAGTCCTGATGACCTCTGGGTGTGGTTCCCCCCCAAAAAAAAGTTGAAGTTAATTCAGATATTACATATATAAAAACAAATGTATAGAAGATTTATAATTACTAAGTGCTTAGATTATAAACATCCATAGATGTCTAACAACAGTCAAGTGAAATGCAGCTTTCTACAAATAGGTCTGCAGCTTAGGGGCCTATGCACTTATGATATGTGTTAGATTCATTTTTTTGAAGTTGCCCATATTTGCCATATTTGGCTACTAATCTACAAAAATAATAATTGGTATGAATTCGCCTAATATACATGGAAGAAGGAATTGCTGACCTCACTGAACAGAATCAGAGGCATGTAAGTGCCACATTAAAAAATGTATTGTTATTATTTTTTAAATTGAATCACTATGTCATCATGAGATACAGTTACAAAGTTTTCATGGTCCACAGTTGGAACCCTGACTCAAGGACTAGGGGAATGGGTAGCTGGGACTGAGAAGGGACCATTATGACAATAATGTTTGGAATGGATCACTCCGAATTGGAGATGTGTGCTGAAAGCAGGCAAATGATCAAACATGATGGCCTCTCAGTATCTGTATTGCAAACCATAATGCCACATACCCAGCAGAGCTCAGAGCTTACTCTTGGCTCTGTGCTCAGAGTTCACTCCTGATGGGCTCGGGGGACCATATGGGCCAGGGATTGAATCATAGTCAGCTCTGTGCAAGGCAAGTGTCCCACTCACTCTACTATTGCTCGAGCCCCAACAAGAGAAAAACTGATTCCTCTAGGCCCTAGAGAACTGACGTATTTCTTATAGAGGCTCCGCCTGTCCCACCTTAATAACCCCAACTTCAACAACTCATATGTGCAACTGACTACCTTGTTCATTGGCCTGACCTTGCAACCTCCCTCTACTTCCCTCCCTGGCTATAAGAAACCACTGAGGTTCAGATCAAGTGATACTTCCTCTGAATCCCCTTAGGGACTTCTGCAGACTGTTTGCTTCGCCTTCCTTCCTGCTCAAGTGCTTCAGCCAGAGCCTCTTCAAACCACAGAGTACAGCTCCCTCAGCTCCTGTATAGTGGATTCTGGCATGCAGCACAGTGGCTCACAGTTGAATGTGGATGAACACAAATTTCAGTGACAGCATCAATGTATCAAGTGCTGGATTTATTCACCAGGTATGACATCTCACTGGCATACAGTTCTCAGGTGTGACAATTATATAAACATAATATTTTGTGAGAAAAATAGTCAAAAATTATTTTTATTTTTTAAATTTTTTCAACTCTGGAATCTAAAGTATATTGCATTAAATTTTATTTTATATTTGGATCTCATTATGGTAATAATCATGTCTTACCTGTCATTATAAAACCTTTTTTTTTGCTTTTTTTTTGGGGGGGGTCACACCCGGTGATGCACAGGGGTTACTCCTGGCTCTACGCTCAAGAATTACCCTGGCAGTGCTCAGGGGACCATATGGGATGCTGGGAATTGAACCCGGGTCGGCCGCGTACAAGGCAAACGCCCTACCTGCTGTGGTATAGCACCAGCCCCCATTATAAAACTTATAAAGAAATTCTGTGCTAATATATTCTGGAGTTTACATAAAATAGGTAAGGACTACATATGTAAATTTTCTCCCTATACTTTACACAACCACTGTAATTTATTAAGTTGATTGTGATGATTTTTATAGGCATTCAGTATTCCAACACCAATCCCTACACCACTCACCTTCCCTCCACATTGTCTCCGAATTTCCCAACCACCCCTCAAGTCTGCCCCCATAGCAGGCCCACGATAACTTATTTTATATTGCTTGTTACCAATAATTTGCTACCAGAATGACCAAAAATATTTCCTTAGAAGAAAATAAGCATAAATTGTTGTATCTTACTATGGAGACAATAAGTACTTGTATAAGAGATTACTAAACTGCTGTTATAGATTAAGTCTCATGTGTTTAGGTTTTGTTAATTGAGATTGGTTGCCTTCTACGTTACATCCCACCCAATCTGTTGTGCTGCTACTGGTTTATCGAGTTTTGTAGTGTTTGGAGATGTCTCAGCTGCCTGCTTCAGGAAGTACAGATTCTTAACTAGATGGTACAGCTAAAGTTGAGTTGCAAAATAGTTTTTTCTTTTTTGTGTTGAAACACTGGATGTTATAGCAATAAAATTATCACCTTTAGTGATTAGGCAAGTTTAAATTCTTTACTTTTTTATATATAATAAAAGAATTATGATATGAAATGCATCATCCAATTAAAATTACTCTCCATCAGAGGAATTATTTTATATACTATGGACAATGTTTCAATTAAACAAAGAACTGCTGATTTATAGTTCTTAAGTTTTTGAATTTTTTATACTCTTTGAAAGATCTCCATTGGATTTTTAAATTTTTATTTATTTATTTATTTATTTTATTGAATCACCGTGAGCTACAGTAACAAAGACTTCATGTTTGAATTTCAGTCATACAGTTATTGGACAGCCATTCCTCCACCAGTGTACATTTTCCACCACCAATGTCCCCAATATCCCTCCTCCCACCCCCTCGCCCCACCCTGCCCTGTTCCACCCCTCCCCCTGTCTTCAGTTTCACTCTTACTCTCCCTCTACTTATGGGCATTTTGGTCTGCAATACAGATAATGAGAGTCCATCATGTCTAGTCCTTTATCTACTTTCTGCACACATCTCCCATCCAAGCAATCCCTCCAACCATCATTGACTTAGTGATCCCTTCTCTATCTCAGCTGCCTTCTCCACCAGCTCATGAGGCAGTCTTCCAACCATGGAGCAATCTTCCTGGCCCTTGTCTCTACTGTCCTTGGGTATTAGTCTCATATTATGATATTTTATATTCCACAAATGAAGGCAATCATTCTATGTCTGTCCCTTTCTTTCTGACTCATTTCACTTAGCGTGATACTCTCCATGTTCTGTTCTGGGAATATATAGTAAAATGGTTTTTATTGAAAGAAATTTAGAGAAGTATGAAGGCAGAGATAGAGGGATATGTGTTTAAGGGAGAACACAAGCTTCACCAGAGTAGAAAAAGCAGAGAATGGATTTGGGGAGATAGTTATAAACAATTTCTGCAAATTGTCTTGAGGTTTCTCTGCATAAAAGCTTATCTGGGTATAGTCATAGGGAAAGCTTGGGCACTTGGTGATCCTTTCGTATTCTTCTCAGGACCTTCAGCTCCTCCTCTAGCTACTCCTTTTCTGAAGGGTCCACCTTTTCTGGCTACACATTTCATGTAACATGTACTTAGCTTGAAAGAATTAGAAATTTGGATTTTCCTGGAGTTCTGACCTGCACTTTATAGAGTTCCTTTGTGTCTGTGTAATTTTTTTTGAGTGTACAATGAAGGGAATAGACAAAAAAAAAAAACAAAGAAAAAACACAAAACAACTGTTCCAATGAAATGTAGTGCTTTAATAGGAATGTTTTATTGTCTTTGCCCAAGTCTCTAAAATAGCTTATAAAGTGGAAACACTGCTTTAATAAAAATGGAATACTATTGGGTACATGAAATCCCACCCAACCCCTGGAGCTCATTGCAGGAGTCCCTCATTCCTTGGGGTCACTGACAAGGGCCGTGGTGGAGTAAGAGTAAGGGCTGAGCAGGGCGGCGATGGTGTAGCGGCGCTTGCCAGAGTCGTTGGCTGTGAACACCACCTAGGAGAGAACACAGACCAGATGGTTTCTACTGTGGTCAATGGGGAGAGTCCTGCCAGGAGGCCATTGGCTATCTAGACAGATCCATTCCTTTGATTTTATTTCATTTTGGAGCCACAGTGAAATGGCACACCTTTTGAACACAAGGTGAAAAAATCCAACTGAGCTAGTGTGCCAGACCATTAGAACCTCACCCTATTCTTCACCCCTGTGCATAAGCAAGGGCGCCCTAGCCTGGCTGAGCGAGAGCTTGGACTCCCTAAAAGCTCTTGTCAGATCCTTGGTTTAGGAAAAGGAAGGACTATTGTGGAAACTGGCATAGAATTGCTGAAGCTACTTCCTGTTCACCCTGTGCAAACACAGAATCCTGGAATCTACAAGAACCTTGAGAGCCCATTTTTGCATTTTATGGAAAAGCAGACAAGACCTGTGAATTAGAGATTTTGCCCCAAATGCAAATCATGAAGGAGTCTGGTGAGCTCCTCTCTCCAATCTCAAAAGATTTTTCTCCTATTATTTCTTTGCTGCTTCTTCCCTGAGGATCAAGTATATTTTTATGTATGTAACAAGCAGTGACATAAGTAAAAGCATTTTCAGGTTCTATTTACAACACAAACAGAATGTGGGAGTTCAGGTGGGAATTCTGAACATACACACATATATGGAGCTCACTGAAGCTATATAATTGGGCCAAGTGTCCTTCAGAATGTTCCAGTTGATCAGTCCTGTGACAATTGAGTAGAACTTCTGAGACTCAGGACTGGGATAGTCTAGGTAGCCAGAATAAGGCTGATGGGGTGATGGGGAGACATTTTTTTATTAGGAGAGAAAAGGAGGACAGTGAATCAAAGATTGATTTGTGTGTGTGTGTGTGTGTGTGTGTGTGTGTGTGTGTGTGTGTGTGTGTGACTCTTATTTGGCCATATCCAGCTGTGTTCAGGGCTTACGTCTGGTTCTGTGCTCAGGGACCACTCCTGGCAGTGCTCAGGGGCACCTACCTGGTCGTCCTGTGTATTATCTCTCCAACCCTTGGTTTAAGTTTTTTTTTTGTATGCAGACCCCAGATTGAGCTTTGAACATCACCTGGATAAATGTATTTTGTTCCAACTATGGGAAAAGGAACCTTGATGACTTGGGGACAGGAGACAAAAGATCTTTCTGAACCAGATTAAAACAAAATATTGCACTAGAGTAAGAGGAGGTGAGAATCAGAATTACTGACAAGGCTCCCTGAAGGGAGAAGCCATAGCTTAGAAGCCATTTTATATATATATATATATATATATATATATATATATATATATATCTTGGAGTAACATTGACTTTCAGTGCCTCCTGAATGTACCTAAGAAAAGACTAATATTTTCAAAAGAATTTTTGTGACAAGTCTAACATGGTCACTTGAGTCATTGGCCCAAGAGGAGATTGATGAATGCTGGAGGATGAAACATTCTGGAATGTCCTTGTCAGAGAAAGTGGGAGGGCAGAGATTCCTGGGTGAGCCTTTCTGAAAGGAGAAAGGCCCCGACACTTGTGCATCCCCACGCGTTTCCTATACTCTTTCACGGCCTGTCTAATATGCCTACACTAGTCCCTTTCCTTCTATTCTGAGGGCAGGGCTGTATTTCACTTCAGATCCTCCCTCTGGGATCTCAATACATCAATGGTCTTGATTTTTTGAAAAAAGTTTGTTGAATACTCCTAAAAAAGTGAATAGCAGGAGGAAAACAATAACCGCTGAATAAGAAACATGGGTGGTACAGCAGTGAAATCTTCTCTGAAACTAAAACACAGACAGTGGGACAGGGAAGCTGGTTTGATGCTCTCGCAGAGACTGCGACTAGATGCCTGTGGTCGGTGCACTCTAGCCCCTGTGGGACCCAGCTGGACCTAGTGTCTTGCAGGTGGGATGTGGAATCACTGAGGCACACTCAACCGGAGATGCAGCTCCTTTATGACCCAGAGGTCCCAGAAGTCCTGCAGATCTAATGGTTTCCCTGACGACACTGCTTACTGAAACAACCATTTTATATCAATTGAAAGTCCCACCCATGACTAAGCCAGAGAGAATGGTTCTTTCAAGATGAGCTATTTTAGATGTAATTAGTTGATCTTTAACTCTGACCAGCTTGCCTGCATTCTATTTCCACCAGAGCCATCTGCTTCAAATGACAGAATTGCAGATGAAGAGGAAGTGGCGGGTTTAGGCCCATGTGAAACTTTGAGGTTCCTAATACCTCAGGAAGAATAGAATGTAAACTAAGGGTTAAAAATGTGACTTATTTTTATTATTTTTGTCTTGACTTTCTGCAGGAAAGGAGCTCATAATGGACACTAGACTGAGCTGAACGGTGCCGGGGGCCTCTTGTTAAATACCCCTGCTCTTCCTCACTAATTCTGTGTCTGGAACAACATATAAGTGTACATGCCACACTTTGTTCATCTGGAAAGTGAAAACAATAATGGGACTGCTCTCGATGGGTTGTTTATAAGGATTAGATAATATAAATATAGAGGGGCCAGAGTGATAGTACAGTGTGTAGGGTTCTTGCCTTGTATGGGACAGATCTGGGTTTGATCCCCAGCACCCCATATGGTCTTTCAAATACCCTCATGAATAATTCCTGAGTGCATAGCCAGGAGTTACCCCTGAGCATCTGTGGGTGTGCTCCCCAATTTAAATATAGAAAACATAAATATGTTTGTATGTTTCAAGTTTGATATCTCTCTCTCTCTCTTATCATCTACATCTACAAATATAAGTGTTTACTTTGTTTCAGTACAGGGATCAATATCTCATTATCAGGTCTCATAATCTAGAATGCACTACAACATAATGCCTGGCTGATATACTTATTATATTGTGCTCACATATAATTAATTAACTCATTAATCCTTATGTATTTTGGGGGGTACATCCAGCAGTACGCAGGATTTACTTCCTAGCTCTGCTTTTAGGATCATGCGTGGTGGGTTCAGAGGACCATTGTCCTATAGCTCTGATGCTATCATTTTTATTTGTATAGATTCACTACCATCAGTTCTGGGGACCATCAGGGCTCGGATGGTGCTGGGTGGGGGCGTGTAGTGCTAGAGATTGCACTCGGGGCATGCACATGCACATGCTAGGAGCTTCCATTTGATTATCCCACATCTCTCCCTATTCCTATTTCTTTCTTAAATAAACGTTTGTATTCAGTGAATAATATCTATGTAAAGAGTATTATGTAAAATTGGATTATATTTCTAACTTAGGAAAAAGAAATTGCTATTCCAAATTTTTCTGATTTCTGACTATAGTCATGGGAAAGAAACCTGTACTAATCCAGGTTTCCTTCTGATGTCCCATGGAATGTGAAGGACAAACTGGGGCACTGAAAACAAACAAAAGCAAATCCAGTGGCCATATACTTACCTCCACGTATTCATGGAATGGGGAAATGCCAAGTGCCTTCCAGTAGGTTTTGGTGTCTAATTCTACTTTGTAGATACCTTCTACAAATTTCTCATCAGTTGTGAGCCCATGGAGTTCTCCAAATTCACTGGTTTTCCTAGAAAATGCAAAAGAATCATGTTCTTGGAATTCCTGCTTAAATTATACATTAATAACTAATGGAATGATGATGAGTTGAGGCAGCACACACATACAAATACACCCCTGCATACACACACCCCTATATACCTTCAAGCTTGTGTATGTGTGTGTGTGTGCATAGGTGTGTGTGTATTTTTTTCCTTTCTCAACTAAGTCAAGCAAGAGATAATTCTAGCAGTTGACTGAAAATAATGGGAAAATTGTTAGAATGTCCACTGTAGGTATTTTTTTTCCAAGAAGAATAAGATCCAGGTATAATTTCCCAATGTTTTGTTGTGACTCAGGGTTGGTTGGTTAACTCTTGTGCCAGAAGTCTCTGTGATCCTGAATTTCCCTACTGTAGCAGGTTTGTGTGACTCTGCCACTCCATGGCTTGAGGGTACTTTGAGGAGTGGTATCATTTGTACAGACATTGATTGAGGCTCTCAGAATACCACATCTCACTCTGCCATCTTTTATATATTTAATCTCTTTACTAACTCTTGGCCAACAGCAAAGCAGTCAACTTTCTAATTAAAAAAAAACTTTTTATTTCCATTTAAGTATCTGCTCAAATGTTGATATTAGAAGTTTCTCTCTTTTAGACTACAAACATTGAGACAAATTTTTAAAAAATTGCATCAGACCATACTCTTCTCAACTTCTTTTTCAGAAAGAAAATACTGAATTTCTTTGGTTGGTCTTATCACAAGAAAAAAGGTTCACACAATCATCTAATCATCCAAACACCACTCTCTGTTTGGTGTTCATTCTGCCTATCGCTTAGACTCTTTTTTCCACTACTCTCCACTTTGTGCTTGGTATTTTATCTCAATATAAGTGAATCACAAACAAAACCTCAATCATGTGAGTTTACAGTAATTATAAACAACCACTCTTCTTGTGGTTTTTGGGATTCAGTGAAAACTGAGAGACATTCTCCTCCTGGGAGATGGCAGGTCTTCCCAATGTTGCTTGTTTGCCCTTTGGGTTTATTTAGGCTCACTAATAAGCATAAGAATATCTGTCTTCATAGATATTCCTGTGAGTGAAGGTGGAAAGCTTTGGGAAAGTTGTAAAACAGCCATTAGATGTAAGAAGTCATATTTTGCACCTCATGTTGGGTGATTGTGAGGCTGAGCTCCTTGGCTTTGTGTCTTGTACTTCTCTTTCCTTTCTAATTGAACCCCAGTCTTGAGGAGTTTCTAATCTAAAAGTACTTGTTAAACCAAGCCCTTAATTTTTCAGTATTCCAAATAAACTTGCCACTGCTGCCCCACAATTCTTTTCCACAGACAAGACAGTCCATCTTTTTAAACAATTCAAGAAAAGGGTTTTCAGCTTGAGTGCTGTGCAAGGGCTCCAGGGGATCTGAGCAGCTCCTAAAATTGCTTTTGCATCTTTTCAACTGATTTGCACTTCCTTCAAACTAGATTTGCACTTCTCTTGAGCCTGGAGCCAAGCTTTTTGGCTGAAGCTTTTTCCCTTCACCTTTTGAACCAGACCTTTAATAAGCTATTTTTAGGGAAGTCTCCCAGCAGTGCCTAGGAGGCTAGAGACCTACCCATAGTTTGATTCTTGGCCAGCTGATTCTACAGCTCAGTACTAGGACCTGAGGATGGGGTGCTGTGTGCCATGAATTGTCTGAGATTACTGAGGGTGGGGAATTCCAGGCTGTGCCTTGTCATGCTTGGGGACCGTATAGTGACAGAGATTGAGTAAGAGTCAGCTGTGTACATGGAATACACCTCAACCCTTCTGTTCCCTCTGACCCTTCATCACCTTCTTTTTTTAAATAAGAAATTAATTTAATTATTTTTGGAGGTGGGTGGTTTAGACAATGCTTGCACTCATCCTTGTACTATCTCTCAGGCCCTTATCACATTGTAGAAGTGGTCTGTGGTCCAAAAAGATGTTGAGTCATCTTAGGAGTATGGAAGATTCTGGCTCCTTCCCTCCAATATCTGCCCTAAATGATGCTCAGGTCTCCACTCATGCCCAGTTAAGTAAAACCAGAGGAGGGCCTCTTTTTTCAGGACCCACTTGGCCCCTATCCACATTTTTAATCTACCTGTAGGTTCTTTCACATGTTCTGGAAGCCTTTCTTCCTAATCATTGGAAGGTGAGTGGGAAGATAGTAGGAAGTCCCATGCCTGAGTGTAGTGGGAGCTTACCCAGAGGCGAACGGCTCCCAGGTCTCGTCAGCAGCCTTTTTGAACACTCTCACCGCCACATTGACTGCAGGGCTGCCTTGAACAGCATCTAGGACTTTGACCATCAGGGGACACTTGGACTGACCAGTGCCCTGGGCAAAGAAGGCAAGAGAAAAGTCAACAAAATTGGCAAGATCTTAACATCTATCTTCGCAGTGCTAGAAGTCTGGAACAAGGACGAAAGGGCATGTTAATCCCATGCTAACAAAGTAAGTGTTGGCAATTAATGAGCTTCTCTATTAAGCTTAACAGAGACATGATTGTTCCCAAAGCAAGAATGTTTTTTATTTGCCTGTGGACACACTGTAACCAACCGGAATATGTACAATGAATTTCAAGGGAGAAAACAGGCCCTGAGAGGCCAGTTTCTTTGTTAAACCTCTCCATTTGAGTAGAATTTCTGAAAAGACGCCATGTGCCAGAGAACCAGTTTCTACTGAGACCAGTTAAGTCAGTTGCTCCCTGAGTATTTTATTTTCTCCTGTTTGTGGGAAATAATGTCAAACCGCTTCATCATTATTTTATAGTATGAATAATTCTTCTAGGAGATTTAAAAACAAGTTGTCTGACTAGAACATTTTCTTTTAAGTCTTTCAAAAGTTAAGTAATAAATACATTTTGATTAGCTAAAGGAAAATGAATGATAAAAGCAAGCATTTATGAAAATTCTCTATCAATTGCTACCTAAATATGTCTTCATTTTTACCACCCAGCTAAGGAAATTGTGCTGGCCAGTGCAGGTAAGCCTTGTACCTCAAAGCCCTGGAGAGGTCTCAGAATCAAGTCCCCCACTCAGTCAGCACCACAGAACATCCTATTTTGAGGTTTGAATCAGTCAATCTTTTTTTTTCTTTAACAAAATGGGTGCTGGATACTCTTGCCCAACAAACAAAAATTGGTTGGCAACATGAAAAGAAGTCACTCCTAGTTTGTCTAGTCAGAAAATAGATGGAAGAGACTTCACAGAATCCAACACTCACCGTTGGGCCCGCCTCAGTTACGAACACCAGTCCTGCCAGGCAGAGGAGAAGAAGGCGATGGGAAGCCATGGTACCAAGAATGAGTGGGCTCTGAGATGGCTGCTCCCAGTGTGGGCCTTTCTTTTATACTCACTTCTCCCCAGTCCCACTACTGATCCCTGCCAGCCCGACTCCAAACCTGCTGATTCTGATTATTGACTTAGTCAACAAAAGGAGAATAAGTAACCCACACAAATATGAACCTTGCCTGGAGAGATTAGAGTGTCAGAACATTAGCTTTATGAAATATTCTAATTCCTTACAGGTCATTTGACCAGCTTGATGACCAAAACAAAACAATCAAAACAAAGCACAAATATTTTCCGTACTTGGCTGGAACATTCTTAGGAAATTACCCCCTACTCCGACCCCCGTTCCCCCCACCCTTGTCCTTCATTCTGTGCATGTTTTCTGTTTTCTATGCACTTTATCTGTCCTTTACGATGATGGATGAAAGTTGTAATAATTTATTTCCTGCCAAATGACAGTTGGCTGCACAGACCAAAATAAAGTGGATGAAAAAGTACCAGTGCATTAGATAAAGGCACATGAGTCAACACAGAAAAGCCCTTGACAGTTCCTTCATTTTAATAAAGCTTTTACTTTAGTCAAGCTCAGCCATTTGACAGCTCTGTTTAGTATGCAGTTTTCCTCATGATTTTTATATTTCTTGCAGAGAAGTTTCATCAGAGCCCAACAAATAATGACATATTTAATGTTGTTATTGATGTTTGAAATTTAGAGAACGAAATATTCATACTGCTTCTTCTGAATTCAAAATACAGAAGCAAGGCTATCCAGTTGACTTCCACATCTTAAGAATTAGTGCCAGAAAGACAGTATAGTGATTAAATCACTTGCCCTGAATGCAGCCAACTCTGTTTCTATCTGTGGCATAGCATATGGTTCCCTCTAGCATTCCAGGAATGATCCCTGAGCACAGAGTAAGCCTTGAGCACTGCAATTCATAATAAAAAATTCTGAAAGGAGATAGAGGTAATGGTGAGAAACAGAATCCATAGCAGTCTTTTACTTCTTACAACTAACAAATCAGGATTATAATTATTTGATGATTAATAGTTGGTCCATATCAAATTTTATATATGGATATAACACATGAGTTAACTATGATGCGATTTGACCTTATGGAGACAAATATATAGACAATATGGAGAAGAAAATAAAAAATTTTAGATCAATACATGACTAGATTGAGTCCACTTTGGAACACTGACAGCAGGGAGTAATTTCTATAGTTGACAGTCAGGTTTGAAGAAGTTCATAAAGAGATTATGAAGAATAAGTGTCTTCAGTCCATAGTGGCAAAGGTATGGAGGCATTCCAGGAATATGGAAACACATGGGAGACTGAGGAAAATGGGCTGGTTACAAAAAAGTAACAAATTCAGTGCAGAGAATTGTTCAGAATGGAGTCTTAAAACTTTAGACTCTGACTCTGAAGTACCGTTTGCAAAGGCTTTGATTTTGTAGTCAGAGGACCTTATTCACCCAATTTCTAGCTTTCGTTCCCAGCTTCCTGGATGACCTTCTCTGACTTATTGAATACCTTAGTTACTCAGCTTACTTACTGCAAAATAGAAATACCTATTTTTCTACTTCAAGTGATTATTCTAATAACTGAATTTAATGTCACATTAAAGCTTTTTGACAACCATTATTGTGGTACAAAATATAAATAGCTATAATGTAATTTGGCTCAACATCTGTTAAGGGAGAACATCTTTTCTCTAATATCTCTTATATCTTCATTCAGTATCCTTGTGCCTATTTTCTATTGTTCAGAACATGGATGGAGAACTTGTTTGATATGAATTCTGATTATTTTTATTTCCCAAGCCTTCCACTCATGAATCTTAGTGCACTTTTGGTTGAAACCCCAAACTCTCTCCTTTGTGTAGACATTAGGATCCGTCCTGTAGACACGATAGTCTTAGGCAGTCACCCACTCAAGTATTGCATGTTTCACCTGTGGAACATTCTTTAAAATTTTTGAAATAGTGGCGAAGTTAAAAGTTGAGGCACTGTAGCACTGTAGCACTGTCCTCCCATTGTTTATTAATTTGCTCCAGTGGGCACCAGTAACATCTCCATTGTGAGACTTGTTGTTACTGTTTTTGGCATATCAAATATGCCATGGGAGCTTACCAGGCTCTGCTGTGTGAGCAGGATATTCTCGGTAGCTTGCCAGGCTCTCCAATAGGGACGGAAGAATCAAACCTGCATCGGCCGCATGCAAGACAAACACCCGACCCGCTGTGCTAAGTTGAGGCATGTTGCATAAACATTTGCATTTCTGGCCTCTCTTGAGAAGTGAGGCAGGATGGTAGCACAGAGTCTGCATTCACACGGCATGGCAAATGATTATTGTTCATTTTCTTTTCTTTTCTTTCTTTCTTTCTTTCTTTCTTTCTTTCTTTCTTTCTTTCTTTCTTTCTTTCTATCTCCCTCCTTCCTTCCTTCCTTTCTTCCTGCTTGCTTTTTGGGTCACACTCGGCGATGCACAGGGGTTACTCCTGGCTCTGCACTCAGAAATTACTCCCGAAGGTGCTCAGGGGACCATATGGGATGCTGGGAATTGAACCCGTGTTGGCCACGTGCAAGGCAAATGCCCTACCTTCTGTACTATCACTCCAGCCCCATGTTGTTCATTTTCTAACTACCATCCTAGAAACCTCTGTCCCTCTGAGACTAGGTAACCTTTCTAGTGGCACTATTATGTTCCAACTTTTTTCCCTTTACACATTTCCTAATGAGGTTCTGTTTTCCTGAGCAGGATCATGCACTCACTGAGAGCACTCTAGAAGATTTAATATATTCATGTCGGTAGAGCCTGGCAAGATACCCGTGGCATATTCAATATTCCAAAGACAGTAACAATAATGGGTCTCTTTCCCCCGACCCTGAAAGAGCCTCCAATATGGCAGCGCTGGGAAAGATGAGTAAGGAGAGACTGTTAAAATCTCAGGACTCAGACGAATGGAGACGTTACTGGTGCCCACTCGAGTAAATTGATGAACAACAGGATGACAATGACAGTGACACATGTCCTATTTCTCTTATGTATGTTCCTGCCTGGCCTCTGGGATATTTCAGTTTGTCATTATTAGTCATCCTACAGTCATTTACATAGTGAATGATACCCAGCTTAATTCTTTTTCCCCAAATCCACTGCTTCTCCTTCCGTCCTTTCTCCTCCCCTCCTCCTCCTCCTCCTCCTCCTCCTCCTCCTCCTTCTTTTTTACCTCCTCCCCTCCTCCTCTTTCTTCTCTTCTTCCTTCTACTTCTTCTTCTGCTACTGGGCTCAGGGCGTACTTGTGACTCTGTGCTCAGGAATCACTTCTGGTGGGCTTGGGGATAAAGCCCAGGTCAGTACTGTGCTAAGTAAGTGCCTTACTCCTGGTACTATCTCTCCAGACTACAACATTTATCCACTTTGAATTATTCCTCTAGAGACAGTTTCTGAAATTCTTACCCTCCAGAACTTCCTTCTCTGACTTACTTTCACTGGTCTCAATATGCTCCAAATGGGATCAGGCAAGAAGTTGGAACACTGAGAAGCTACTTCCGTTTACAAAGAACTCCACTGGGAACAGTGCTCTGTAAGAGCTTACACTCGAGTAGCTGTGACCACCCACTGCTGCTTCATCATTTCACCACCCAGTGTATCTCTTGGTCACAATGACCCTAAGGTACTATATATTATTCATCATTGTAGAATAAAATGTGCTTTAATCATTATGAAATTTATTTTATATATTCAATTCTCCTGAGTTATATTGGTCATATAAAATAGTGAGGTATGAGTTGAAGAGGGCTTAAGGCACTTGTCCTTCCTGCAGCCAGCTGCAAGTCAATCCTGGCACTGCTTCTGATCTCCTGAGCACCATCTGGAGCATCACTTGAGCACAGAGCCAGGACTAACCCCCAGCACTTCCAGGTATGGTACCAAAACAAAACAAAAGTAGTTAAGATTTGATATATGCATATATTGTAAAGAAGATTCTTGCCATGTAATTAATGTCCATCTCATCCCATATGAATCTTTTCATGTAAGCGAACATAATTAAGTTCCACCCTCTTAACATATTGATGCTGTACATACAACCTCATCAATCTTATCTTATAAACAGAAATTTTGTGCCCTTTTACCTACTGCTGATTATGCCACTGCTCTTTTCCAGCATATGGCAATTACTTATCTAGTCTCTGTTTGTATGAGTTCACTTTTTATTTTTTTAATTTAAAAAAATTTATTATTATTATTTTTTTACTTTGGGGATACACCTGGTAATGTTCAGGGATTATTCCTGGCTCTGCACTCAAAAATCATCCCTAGCAGTGCTCCAGTACCATATGAGTGTATTTTTTTTAACATTCAATATGACTGTGATGCTATGCACTATTTTCACTAATTTTCTTATCCTTATTTCTTATTTCACTTGGCATAATATCCTCCTGGTTCATCAGGGTTGTTGCAAATGGCAGGATTTTCCATATCTTGGCTATTATAAATAATGCTGTTATGAATTTGGGAACACAGTAATCTGAGGTTCTTCCATATCCTGGTTTCATCTAATTTGGATAGACTTCTAGATGTGGGATTGATGGATCAGATGATTGTTCTATTGTTCATTGTTTGAAGACCCTGGGGAAGCACACCAGCTTACACTCTTATCTATATATACAAGAGTTCTCATTTTTCCACAACACTTGTCTCTTCTTTTTGAAAAAGCTCTCCTAACAAATGTGAGGTATAAGGTCACTAGGATCATTATTTATGAATTTTAACTTAAAAATAAGAACCTATATTTATACCATTTATAACTCATTAGTAGTTTGCACCATTCCTTCCTACTGACAACATTTAATAGTTAATTCTAAAATTCACTACATTAGCATGTCCTCCATGATTCATGCCCTTAGTCACTTTGATTTCCGTACTTTCTGAACTGTCATTGATTTGGAAATAATTAATAAAATTTTAATTTGAACAAGACTAGGAATTGAGATAAAATGAGGCAATTTAGAACACAGGAAGCATTTGAAATCTGATTATTGAATCAAAAACTTAGAGAGTTCCAGACTAATTTAAATATGAAAAGA